GGGAAGAAAACGAAGATTAATGGAAGTAACAATGGGAAGAAAACGAGGATTAATGGAAGTAAGAATAGGAAGAAAACGAGGATCAATGAAAGTAAAAATGGGAACAATCTGCCAAACAATAAAATTTTGGGAAAAAAGAGATCTAGAAGAAGACAGCCTGAAATATGTTGATGGACGAGTTTTGTGAAAAAATGGAGATAAATGTATACTATCCACCAACAATTTCAGTTTCCTTATCCGGCCTTATTCCTAGGGTAACTACTCTTGAGCCTACAGTTAAAAGACTTCCCAGAACATGATTCTCAGTAACGGTGTTGATATAATTATTTTCAACAGCCGCTAAAAAAGAAAAAAAGAAAAAGAAAAAATACAGAATAATTACAAATAATAATAATAATAAGGAAAAACATGGCCCTTGTTGTGGCAACAGATATTGTCAATATGGCCATAGGATTTTGGCATTATTAGATACTTTTATTTTTTGTAACAGATGTGACGAAAGTGGCGTGGTTTACACATCTAAATCTTCTTGAAAGATATCTATTTCTTCCTTGAATGTCTCTTCATCCACTATGGTTTCCTCTTTTACTTCTTTTGTTGATGACTCATTAGATTTGATTGTGAACAAGGAGTCCGATTGACAATTGATGTCATAATCCAATGAAACCTTTAACTTGCTCACACTGGCCAGTAATTCAAAATGGTTGTCGCAGTGACTGCGGTATCCAGTTGTAGGATCTCCATGAATAATTTTATCTAAAATGGGTTTTGATTGTGTGTTTTCTATGTCCGCGGTTAAGTAATGTGTCATCTGATTATTTGTATTAGTATGTTTTTTTGTTGGATATAAATTAATTACATCACCTTTCAATCCATATTCTTTAGGCCCAACTTTAGAAAAACATGGTACATCAGATGTGTATTTATCTTCTTGAATTGGTGTAGGTATTTTCATTGTGCATTTTGATTCTATTTCGAAATTTTCATCTGCACAATCGAGGGATATTATTTTTGATTTTCCTGTCTTTAAAGAAGATGTACTTCGCGCTGGCCTTTGAGTATCTGAAGAAAATGTAAAGATGGAATGCCCCGAAATATGTTGAGAAAATTCACTACACCCCTTTTTTCCCTTGTGTACCTTCTGATGGCGTGTAACACTACTTTTCTCTGCAAACCTCTTACCACAGTAGGTGCAACTGAAAGGTTTTTCACCTGTATGGATGAACATGTGATTTCGTAGGTGTGACTTCTTGATGAATATTTTTTGCAATGTTCACACATGAGAGTGAACCTATTCTGCCTTTCATAATGTAGACGTCGATTGATATCTATCACAGAATGTTCATTTGAATCTCTATCACTCACAAATAATTGTCTTGGTTTCGCATTTCTTGAAAGAGCTGAACTTTGCATTTTCTGAGTATCTGACCTGCTGACGTCCTCACAGCCTTTCGTTTGGTTTTTCTTGTGATTTTTAATGTGTCGGGTCAGGTGAGATCTCTGAAAGAATTTCTGATCACACTCATCACAAGTATAAGGCTTTTCTCCTGTGTGGAGGCGGACATGTGTTGTAAGATGAACTCTTTGAGCAAATTGTACCACAGTCGATGCATTTATAAGGTTTTTCTTTTGTATGTACTTTTCCATGTAATGTATAATTTGACCGTTGTCGAAACCTTTTATCACATATTCCACATACATATGGTTTTTCACCTGTGTGGAGTCTCATGTGGTGTAGCAAGGTACTTTTGTGAGTAAATTCAAGTTCACATTCTACACATTTGTATGGTTTCTCACCTGTGTGCAACCTCATATGACACGTAAGACTACTTTTTGGTAAATGTCTTGCTACATATTTTGCAGCAAGAACTTCCTTTCATTTTGATTCTTTTTATCTGGGTTAGGATGGTATTTTCCTCTACAATCATGAGTTTGTGAAGATTTTTCAGCCATTTGAAAAATCACTTTCTTCTTTTTTCGTTCCTGCAAAGCAAATCACCAGATTCAGTGTGGGATACAACAGTGAAGGAAATAAGCTGCATACAAAATCAGTTTGTGTAACTTTGCTGGAGTTTATGTTTACTTGCTGACTTACATGAAATACACTTCCACTGTGTACCACTTGAAGACATCAGCAATCGATGACTTGTCGACCACCAACCGCTGTAAAGATAAAAGAAAAAAAAAATCAGCACTTAATGACACTGTATTCAGTTGTGTAACAGCAATCTACGTTTTACCATCATATACTTCACGGCTCCTACCACTAGGCAAAGTTTGTCCAGTGATTTCTTGGTCTGAGAGCCCAATGTCCTGAGCTATACTATGTAAAACTGTGCAACTTTAATGCCATAGCCACAGACATCAGTCAATTAATGGGGCTGATGCCTTCGCTTCCAGCCATGGGGGTCTCTCATGGCAGCCGCCAGGCAGACCCTCGGCCCATCTCAAGCTCCTCGTGGCACGTTTGATCTATCTGCCCAAGCCACGACTTTCTAGGTCGTTGCATGGGCCTCCTCCACACAGGATTGTCTTTTGAAGATGGGCAGGGCCATCCACTGAGAAACGAGTGCTCTTGTAGCCTAAGTTGGTGGTCACGGTTTATGCAAGTAACAGGCCAGTCTCATGATGTAACCGCTGGTTGGACACTTGACCCTGTCAACTATAACCCATGATCTGGTAAAGGGATTTGTTACAAAAGGCATTGAGATGTGACTCCAAGATACTAGACCGTGTCCAGGTTTCACTTCCATAGAGCAAAACTGGCAGTGTCAAGGATTCATTATTTTGTTGATATTTCGCTGTGAAATCGAAATAATTTTTCTTACAACCTATACACTGTCTAGCCATGATGGAACTGATTTGAATTTCAACTGCCTTCTCCTAGACCCAGCTTCTATTGTCAGTTGATGATCTATTCCATATCTGATTGATTCTCGTGTCTATGTTCACGCACGTACCTAATTAGCTCATTTGATTTCCCTCGCATAAGTCATCCGCTACAAAACCGTCCGATTTCCCGTCACTCTTAACGACTTTTTGTCATTTTGTCGCGGCGCTGTGTGTTCTACCACATAGTAAGCTCAGCTGAATTCTTTAAATAAGTGGGGTTTCATTTCCAATAACACCAAATATATATCTCTATATACCCATCACACACACACACGTTTAAAAATTACACCAAGATAATTACTAGGTGAAGTGCTGATATGATAGGTAATACACATTTTTTTGTCCAAAGATTTTGTGTGGCAGTCAAGTCCAGTGCCATGGCTGAACGATCGAACATTTCAAAAGATTCCCGTACGTCACCCACAACAACCCCATGCCTCAAGAAGGGTCTGATAGGTTAACAATCATTCACGGGTTAAGATAGCGCTAATGTGTCCACCCTTTCCCCTAGCAGTCGCTATCCGTCTGTGACTTATCCAAGAAGAATCCACGATTAGTAAGTTAGGGTAGTCATGAGCATCGATGCACAAAATTGCCAAAGGCAATACCACACACCAATACTTGAAAAATGGCTAAACGATTCCGATGCATCGATTCTTCTAAGACATTTAAAGCGATGTGGATACCAATACAAGTATCGCCGATATATCATCGCCTATTTTTATTGTAAGAAAATACCAAAATCAAAATGTGAATATTTGATTTGGAAGGTTGATACACTGAAATCAAGGACCACCTGATTTTATATTTTTTATATTTTTTATTTATTTATTTATTTTTTTAATCATCCACGGATATTTGAATGATTTTGTACTCCACAGTATCAACATTCAGACTTACAACTGACAGGTGCGTTCATGAAACTTCAAACATTAAACAGGATATCAAAGAGCCATTCCCTTATGACCAAGAGAAAGAGGAGATAGATATCTAGATCTAGAGAGAAAGAGAAAAAGAAAGAGAGAGAGGGCGAAGGAGGATGGAGAAAAAGAGTTTGAGAGAGAGAGAGAGGGGGGGGGGCGGAAGAGAGAGAATTTGAGAGAAAGACGGGGAGGGAGAGATAAATGGAGTGAGAAAAAATGAAAAAGAAAGAGAAAGAGAGTAAAGAGGGATAGAGAGAGAGAGAAATTTAATATCATATTGTATAACAGGTCCCCAAACTACGGCCCGCCTCCACATTTGGTCGGCCCCCTGAACAATACCAAAGCATTTAGATTTTTTTTATTTATGTGTATTGTATTTGATAATAAAATTGACTTTTGCAATAAAACGTTCCTTAGTTATGAACTATTTTCATTATTAACTATTTTAGTAACTATTTTATACACGCATATAACGTGACATTCTGCTCCACTCTTCTGCAGTCTGTGCCCCTATCTGGCAACCCCCAGAAAAAAAATCCTAAACCCGCCCCTCTCAAAGAGAGAGCGGAATGATGGCGAAAAGATTAGGTAAAAGAAAAATTGATTAGAATGCAGGGCATTTAACCTGCAATGGACAAACGATTATTTTTTGTTCAATGCAAAGAAAAGGCTGTCTGTCTCATCTGTCAAGAGGCGTGGCGGTATTCAAAGAATACAATCTGCGGCGACACTATGAATCCCGTCACAAAGACAAGTATGATAGCTTGCAAGGCCAAATGCGAGCAGACAAACTCTCAAAGCTAAAAAGTGGACTGTTAGCTCAGCAGAATACATTTGTATGCCAATCTCAGCTGAAGCAGTCATCTGTTCGGGCCAGCTTTCGGGTTGCTAACTGATAGCAAGCAGCGGTAAACCTTACACTGATGGAGAGTTTGTCAAGAAATGCATGAACGCTGTCACGGAGGAGGTGTGTCCCGAGAAGAAAGATGTCTTTAATGCCGTGAGTCTATCAGCGAGTACAATCACCAGACGCATTGAAGAAATCGGGGGTAATGTATATGCCCAGCTGCAGCAGAAGACGAAAGAATTTTATTAGTTTTTATTAGCTCTGGATGAGAGCACAGACGTGCAGGACACCGCGCAGCTGCTCATTTTTATTCGTGGAATTAGTGCAAACTTTGAGATATGCGAGGAGCTGGCAGCCCTCCAAAGTCTGAAAGGGACTACGACGGGGAGGATATTTTCGGCAAAGTGTACCAAACCATGGAAGAGTTGGACCTGGACTGGTCAAAGCTGGCCAGCATCACAACTGATGGGCTTCTAGTATGGTGGGCATGTCTCGGGGTCCACTGCCAAATTCACCAGCAAGCACTGTGCTGCAAAGTGTTGACGTGGGATTCTGTCATGAAGGTTGTGGTGTCATGCATAAACTTCATCAGAGCAAAGGGACTTAAACACAGGCAGTTCCAAGAATTCCTGTCTGAACGGAATCTGCGCACAGAGATGTGCTGTACTACACAGAGGTCCGATGGTTGAGCCGGGGCAGAGTTTTGAGGCTTTTTACGAGCTGCTACTTGAAATTAACGCATTTCTTCATTCACAAAACAAAACGGTGCCAGAGCTGATTGACCCAGAATGGAAATGGCACCTCGCATTTTTAACAGACATGACAGAAATGCTGAACAGCTTTAACTTGCAACTACAAGGCCAGGGGAAACTCATTTGCGACATTATTCCCACAAAAGCATTTGAGGTGAAACTAGAGCTGCTTTTGGGACAAGTGAAAAAGCACAGCTTCATCCATCTCCCTGCTACACAAAACCTCTCTGCAGAGAACCCAGCGGTCTCGTTTCCAGCTGAAAAGTGTGTGGAAGCACTGGAAATGCTGAAGGCGGAGTTCGGTGTGCGATTCCGTGAACTACATGTTTATGCAAAAGAAATCCATCTTTTCCAGAACCCATTTGTTGCGACATTGATGAAGCCCAGCCTTCTTATCAGTTTGAGTTGGCCGAGTTACAGAACTGTGATGTTCTGAAAGACGCATTCAAGCCCAACAGTCTCATTGACTTCTATGCCGCCCTCCCAAACGACACGTACCCTAACATCAGAAAACACGCAATGAAGATGTCAACACTTTTTGGCAGCACGTATATCTGCGAGCAAACCTTTTCACGCATGAAACTGCTGAAAACTCCAATGAGATCAAGACTGACAGATGAACATCTGCATCAGTGTTTGAGACTGGCAGTGACTAAAATGGAACCTGACATTCAACTTCTCACCAGCCAGATGCAGGCCCACAGTTCACACTGATGAACATACAAAGGTAAGCTCACTTTTCTGACTTGAATGAGTCATTCTGAGTATAAACAAATATAATCATAATAAAATCTACTGGGATAAAATCCATCTCCACAACCATACGGTAGTGGTACTGGTTGTGCTGTGTAGGTGCTGTATCACTTCGTTCAGTTTCTCAGCCTGCTTGCTTTGTGGTTTTCACAGGGAAGTTGATGAGAGAGAGAGAGAGAGCTGCAAACAGCGATGTCTACAAGCCTACTGGAACCTACAAAAGGATTATAAGGAAGGAACACAAGAACTTTGAGAGACTGCTCATATGAGTCATTTAAGTAAGAGATTCTGCTCTGACAACTAAGCTGAACTTGGACCTGTTAAGACTGTGCACGGCACAACAGAAAGTTTATGTTCCATGGACTTTTTTTCTGTGAAGAACCCACAGAGTGTTATTTGGTTATTATTTATTTCATAAATAGTTATTTATTTCCTGGCTTTTTCTGTGAAGAACCCAGAGAGGTTATTTGGTTATTATTTATTTCATAAATAGTTTATTTCCTGCTTTTTTCTGTGAAGAACCCATTGGTTATTATTTATTTCATTAATAGTGTTATTATTTATTTTCTGACTTTTGTTCTGTGAAGAATCCAGAAAGGGTTATTTGATTGTGGCTTTCTGGAAAACGATAATTTTTACATTTAGGCACTCCTGCAATCGCCACACCTTTTCTGTTACAAACTGACCCCGGCCCCTCATCAGAGAAGGAAAAGTTATGTGGCCCTCACAGGAAAAAGTTTGGACCCTTGCTGTATAATTCTATCGTTTAATGTGTATGGAAATGTGATATTACATGAAACACGAAGCTTCGGGATTGATTCAAAGCCTAAGGATCTGCTTGAATCCCGTGAATGAGATGGTTAAGCTTGATGAAACTCATACTCTATTATTTAAACCTTAGTGAGATCCCTGAGGTCGATTTTTCTAAATCGCCCAAAATGTTTTTACTAGTAATAGTCAAGAGTACATATATATAGCGATCATTTTCCTCTCCATTAAAAAAAAATATAATGTTAATGTTAAAGGTTGAAGCAAGTAAATGTGCTAGACATCTAGGTAATATAGCAAATGAGTTAACGATTAGTGAAAGGTGTAAAATATCAAAGTTATAGTGTTATAGGAGAGTAAGATAGGGAAAAGGGTAAGAAGGGGTGTAAATGATGTAAATCGACATTAATAAAGGAAAGGGTTAAGGGTATAGGGTGATTGGATGGAACGGTGTGCATTTGTTGTTGGGAGGCTATTGTAACATACTTTAAGGAAAACGTAAAAGCTGTTATGAAATAATCAGCAGGTAATACGGGTAGTGATGGCCGTTAGAGAAGTAGCAGGAGAATAGTCTATGGGATGAGATAAGGGGACTGTGGAAGAAGGTGAAGTATCAGGAAGAGCGTCAGGAGGGGAGGGGATTTGGCATGAGTATCCAGGTGAAGAGGTAAGGATAGTGAGATCGAAAAGGAGAGGATTTTTTTTTGGGAAACAGTAGGAGGAATGAGGGGTAGGGGGAACTTGTAGGGAGGAGGATGGATATCGGCAAATACTTTGAATGTAGAGGGACTAGGAAATAGAGGAATTGAGGGTGGATGAGGGAGCAAAACATTTTCTTAGATCATGTCTACGATTTTGGATGTCTTCAAGAGTTTCTGGAGAGGATTAGGTAGGAGGTCAGAGAAGCAAAGTATCTCTTGTGAGGAGAAGAGGGAATAGATGTTCGAGGAGCAGTGGAAGAAGAGGTGTGGAAAGTGAAGATGAAGTAGAACGTTTAGGTTGTCTTTTGTGACACATAAAGTGAGGGAGGAAGGGTAAATATAAGTGTAGTAGAGATTGGGTATCTGGATTTACAAAGGAAAGGGGATTTGACTGGGGATAGGGAGAGTAGAGGTGGGATGGTTCAGGAAGACGAAATAGATACTGGAGAAATGCAGAAACATCTTGTAAAATGGGGGAGGGTGTCAGAGTGGACTGTTTTGAAATAGGTAGAAGGAAAAACCTCATCGTTATGCTTCCTGTCTAGCTTCATGTAGAGTGAGGCTTAATTTAATCTGAGAACTGCTAACTCACATTCGAGGTTACAAGCAGGCAGCTCCTATAAAATACGTTTATGGGAGTCACCATAATTGGCACATGTACTTGACTGAGCAGGGCAATTTGAACGGCCATGGCCAGGTTGGGAACATAGAGGGTAGTGGGCTGTGCAGTGACAATGGTTGACCAAACGCCAACATTTCTGACATTGTCAGGACAATTCACCAAAATAAACATGTCTACATAAGCTAATCTTGGCAATACTGACATGGACTTATGCTGGCCTCTGGGAGGAATAGTGAATCATTTTCACAATCTGACTAGTTTTTGTCATATATGGGGCAATCAGTTTGGGGGATAAAAATGGTTCTAGTTCAAGTATTAAGAGAGATGTGAGGTTCGTCAGGAATTGGTTTGCCAGTAAGGTCAGGTAGATAGTGCTTGAGCTTGGGATTCTGATGTAACTGTGACTAGCGTGAAAGAATTGGAGTGACTGCGAAAGGTAACTTTGCCTTCTTGTTTTAGGGGTGCACTGTTGACAGAGAAGGTTATTTACAGAGTAGTGGGCTGTGTGAGGAATCACATAGAATCGATCCCACTTGACTTGGGCCAAAGATAGTAATCAAGAGGTTTGCTGAGGTAGAGACTGCAGAAGTACGTTGGTGGGAGGAAGATGGAGTGGTGTGCAGTGTAGAGTAGTAATGAGGAAGACAAGCTAGACATTGAAGAACACTGTACAGTAGGAGATGAAGAATATAATACTGGGAGAGAGGAAGGGGTGCATTCTGGGGTGGAGTAATAACATGGATGGGTGGTTCAGACTGGATAGAGTTGTCAGTAAACGTAAAGGATATGGATTAGTATCAGTGGTCGAAGACGTGGTCAAAGGAGCAGGGGTCGGAAATCCATCAAAATCGGAATCAGAGAGGTTAGTTGATGCCCCTATCAAGGGTAAAGAATCTTCATTATTGACCGTGGTGAGCCTGAATAAAATGGGAAAGAAACAGTCTTCCCCTCAAGGGAATACTATGCCCATGGCACCCTAAGGCCGTTCATGACTAACATACAGCCAGCCTTTCATCCTTTCAGCACGGCTCACACCTTAGGAATGGGATAGAAGGGAAGAAGATATGGAAGAGTAAAGGAAAAGAAAAGACCAAGAAAAATTAACTGAGGCGAGGGCTGAACTCTAAGGTAAGGGTAATCCCTACATTGGGCTCCAGTCTGTCTCCACGACAACAATGAGCAAGGTATTGGGAGGGTATGCATAACAAATCATGTATGTAATAATTATATATATATAATATCTATTATTTTCCCTTTATTGTTGCTCTACTGGATTTTACAACATATGATATTGGTCTGAAATATGATCGTTCTCCATGCCAGCGAATATCACTCTCGCAGGCCGGAAGCGACAGAAGGCGCTGCGTGCACGTGTTTTTGAAGCGAGGGTCCCAAACCTGGTAAGTCTACGGGTGAAACACTTACCTTTCATAACAACACTTCCGTCAGAACACTCCGTGACCTCACACGAAGAGGTCGTGTGGTGCCCTGCTCCGGTGCCCTTTACACATGGATCTCTGGTGTCATGTACGAGGAAATTGTTCATGAATCTTTAGGTGCGCATATACCTCGCAATTGAAACGTCATGAGAGTAGTGATGTGAACATGGCTATGTTTTAAATTCAATTGAATTCATTCCTCCGCCGAGTGCCAAGTACTGTGTTAGTGACCGTTGGAGCTGAGTGCCCCGTTGTCCCGAGCGCCATAATTCACCTGTCACGAGGCGGGCGAGCCAGGCGCGCCAGGCGCCGCGGTCACCACCCCCACGATGGGGGAAAACCGCAAAGTAAACACTGAGGGGAAGACTCGCGGGATAGCTGTCCCACCCCTCCCCCGGCTGAAGAGTGCGCTTCAGCCTGTAATTCAGTGGACAGGACCGCTGAACCCATCGCCATGCAAGAGGCACAAAATGATGGTGATGCCCAGGTGGGTGACGCCGCTGCTGACCAAGGAGGTGACGGCTTCACGTTAGTGGGCCAGAAAAAGAGAAAGAAAAGAGAGCCCAATAACGCCAGCAAGACGCCACTCGCACCGAGGAAAGACTACGTCCGTCTCGCCTTCCCTGAAGGCACCACGAAAAAAGAAAAAATGAAATGGCTACAGGACCTTGGCAACCCCTCTTCGAACCTGAGGGGTAAACCCATTGACCTTGTGAGAGGGGACACGCTCTCCTCGCCATATATCTATGTCGCCCGCTCCCAGCAGAGCTATATAGAAAACCTTACCGGGGGACTTATTGGAGGTATTACCTTCAAATCATGCGATGAAAAGAAGAAATCGGAAAAGACGAATACCTCGTCACACATTATAACAAGGACCTTGACCTTGATAATGCATATGCACTCGATGGAGTCCACAAGGCCATTCGAGTGTACAAGGATGGCCAACCATTAAACCGAATCCGCATCGTATGGAAAGGAGAGCAACCCCCTCCAAGTACATACAATTTCTTCGGAAAATACATGCCCACCAGCCACGTGCGGCCGTGGAGGGCATCCCCCGTCATATGCTACAACTGCATGGGAAGCGGCCATGTAGCTAAGTATTGCAAGGATAAGGCACGCTGCGCAGCATGTGGCGAGCAACACAGTGCCAAGGAGTGTCCTCGCAGTGCTGCAGGGCGAGAGCCTGCTGCAGATGCACCGAGCTTCGTCCCATCCTGCTTCAGGTGTGGGAAGGCAGGTGTCACTGCCTGGCACTGGGGGTGCACAGCCCTCCCTGCTCTGGCACCTCCCCCCCCTCCTCCTGTGGCCGCAGCACCGACCGCGAGTGCCCAGCGCGGCCCTCCCTGCCCTGGCCCCTCCCCCCCACCCCTGTGGCCCCGGCACCGACCGCGAGTGACCAGCGCGGCCCTCCTAACCCAACCCGCG